TCGGGCTGAAGATTACACATCCGCGGATACGTAGGACTTTGCCGACCTGCGTATGAGGGCAAACCAGAAATTCGCATGCTCCCAAATATAGTTTTTAAGCCCATCGCGCGCGCAACTTAAGTGGGATACGTTAAATCAGTGTATGCGAATTATTGAAGAATACTGATGTGACTGATTTTAGATGTGACCTCATCTGGAAAAAAAACCAGTAGAAAATTGGTAACAGTAAATTATGGATAGGAACGAAAGAACGTCATCATGAAATGTAGATATTTGCGTTCTGATATTAAAGTCAAAATCGATATAGATAAATCCGATTTCATATGTCTCATAAAATTTGATTATTTGTGTGTGTTCTTAAATATTGTTCTTTATTTGATTTCTATTCTAGATATAAATACTATCGCTTTATTAATAACTTTATTAATATTTTACCTTTAGAGCGTTCGAATTTTTTAAGGAAATATTACTTTTTTACAAATCTTTTATCTAGTTAGAAATTAAATTTGTCTACCAATTTACATGAAGTTTCTCAAAATATCTAGCAAAGTACAGAAAAAAGGCTTGTTGTCAGCAATATTGTTTTATTGTGCATTTGTATAGAGTTGAATGTAGCCATCATAAACGAGAGATTTATGTTCAATTAAAACTGTACTAACGTATTTGATGTATCTTAAGCAGTCTTGTCGACTTGCGATATATTTTGTATTTTTGTTTCTTGCCGAAATAATTAACTTTACTTCGATTACCGAGATGCTATCGATCCACAACATCTTTGCGTGTCGATCTTTATTTTCCATTTACTCGGTTTACCAGAAATCAGATTAGATTGCTGTCTAAGGGAGGGAGTGTGCTCATTATTTTTCATTTTAGTTCTTCGTGAATCGGGCTATATTAACACATGATTTATAACTTCAATTTAATCTTTAACGGTTTGCGGTGTACTTGAAAGATTACTTTATGAAATATGACACTAAATTAAGCACTTTCACTAAAAACACAATATAGTGATTTTATTATAATAATATTAAACATTTTATGAGTTCTCTTCATATATTTCTCATAAAGTTCTGGTAAAATAATAAATGTTAATTGATTCAATTTTGCTGCATAAAATAATTTATAATATGTCAATATACCGTATATTCTATTAATACATAATTATTTATGTTATATGTTACATGAAGAAATATTGCTTATATTTGAATTTGAGAAATTGAAAGAGCTTTTTATAAATTAAACAGTAATGGCACTATAAAATGATCTTAATAACATACAGGTAGATATGATGACAGTAATGAAGATTTAGTTTTTAGTTGTATTCTTAATTAAATGTCACTTTATAGTAAAATTTTTATTTAATGCCCATGTTAATTGTTGAAAAATTAAATAATGTTAATTAATATGTATAATTTACAGACTTTAATATATGTATAAAATTCATAAATAAGTAATAAGAAAATGTAGAAAATTTAAAAGCAAAAATATAATTGGTGTTTAATCACATTTTTACTGTACAAAAAATTTACTTCACATTTATTGAAGTTTCTGCAATTACTTATGGATGTATGACTTTTATTATACCTGACGATTATATTATTGAAATAATTTAGTAAAGAGTATTAACGCATAAACGAAAAAATAATTCAATTTTAAGTGGAATATAAACACATTATTTATTCATGAAGACTAGATTAGAATCCGGCACACAGTTAAGAAACTGGAACTTTGTGTTGCGACTTCGTGATTGCATCTAAAAAATTTACAATCTATTTTAAACGTACGTAAATGCATTATTTTGTTAATTTAATCTAAGTATATCTGTAACGACACTTGAATGAATATTTAAGTTATTCAAAATTTGAAATATTTAGAAACATAAAATAGTTTTTACATTTTATATACAAATCATGTTACGTTCTGCTTACATTATTCTTACTATGAATTTTTTAAATAAATTTTAATAAAAATTTTATCTATTTACACTGTTAAATCTATAGTGTTAAACTGAACCTTATTTAAGTCATTGCTCCTACTTAATAAATAGTTTCTTTTACTAAAACAATGGAGGTTAAATGGATGGTTAAATAATTTAAAATAGTTCAAATTTAATCCAAATTTGAGTTAAATTCTACTGTTTTATTTAAAAGTAACTATACTGTTTTAGTTAAAAATAATTATTTATTAAGTAGGAGCAATGGCAACTTAAATAAGGTTCAATTTGACACAATAGAGAGTGTATCTAAATTATTTACTCTTTCAACAATTTCAAAATCTTTAAAATATCAATTTTTCAGTAAGTATAACGGTTTTTAATTAGCAGGAAACTGAACTTCATATCTCTCTATAAAATAACTTTATAAATAAATTAGCTGAATATATTTGATGAATTATACAGAAATATTATTATAATAAATAATAAATTTTATTATCTCAAATTGAAATTTTTTTCCTACTGAATCTTAATTTTAGGAAGTATATTAGAAGATTTTAGAGGATTATAATAGATTCTATAATCAATGTAAATTTTGTTCTAAAAAACTTAGATTGTCACTTAGAAAATAGACGGATTTCAATCATATTTGTTATCTGTTTCTTTTATTGTTAGTATATTAACGAGAAATTTGATTATCTGCAAATAGCAATGTCTATACGCATTGAATTCTCGCTGTCGTTTTCAGTTCTTTTAAACTTAGAGATCTTGCAATATATTGGAATCGACATCCGTGAGTTTTAAAATCCTGATTTAGCAACTTCTTTCATGGCGAAATTCATGAAAATGTAGCAGATATTAATGAATATATAATAACCTTTTTTGCATGCGAAAGTATAAATCTTCTTTCATGAAGAAAAAAGAAACCTAGTTTAAAGCAGAGGTCGCGTATCTCTCGTACGTCAAATTTCACATCTCACATCAATTTAAAATAAACATCATAAATTACATATATTATGTAAATGCATATTATTTCTATAATTGTACAAACTTAATGATAATGAAACATTATTTATTAATCAGTAAATTATAATTAATTTAAATTAAATTTGTCATATCATTATTTTGTTGAAAATAAAAGTAAATAACGAAACGATTAAGTGATTAAGTAATAATGAATTAATGAGATATGAGAAAAAACTGTTACCTATATAGTTTTTATACTATATGTATCAAGTGATTAGTATTCACATTGCGATGTAGTTTATTTTAAATTGTGAAATTGTCGAATTTATTTACTACGATAACGGCAACGCTTTATTTGTTAGACGAGCAAGATTCAGAAACCGTAATGCTCCAGTTATACTCCTAAACGAGCAGCAGTGACTACCGATGCATGAGGACACTCATTACACTAACAGACGTAGGTACGCAATGTACCTGATCTTATATGAATGACTGCTTGTCGCGAATCATGAATCGAGCAGTTCGCAATAATTGACAGATCTTATTCATCTCTCTCGATGAGATATCGTACGATGAAACTCGCGCCAGCCGTAATAAAGCATAAATCCATGAATGTGCTCGCGCAAATAGACTTTGATATAATTACTGTAGCTTGTTATATCGATGAAAAAAGATGCAGTCATACTACAGCAATTAGCAAAGGGATATTTTTAAGAGAGAGAGGAATACGAATTTGAAAATCGGACGATATTGTATATCTGATAATGTGACCATTTCCATGCATATGCTTTCAATTCCGAATATTTCATATTCACAGTTGTAACGATATAATTATTTGCGCTCGCAATGATGTATTTTCGAGATTATTAAATTTGTATACAACAGCAGAAAAATAGGATTTCAAATCCTGAAATGCGGTATCGCCAATATTCGACGTAGCAAACGTGTAAAAAGAAAAAAAAGACATAATCGGATTAGCTTAAAAGCTGCTCTGCGGAAAGAGAGCTCGTGTAATGAAGGAAGAAAAAAAATTGTATCGTGAAAGAATTATAAGCGATTAGATATAGTGTGCTGATTACCACGGACTCTCCGAATTTGCCACGGCTCTACAAATTTCGAAAACCCAGACAGAATCAAGTATTTGGCGTGAAACTGAATATGCAAATGTCGTGTGGGACAACATCGATTTTGTTAGGTGCGAGAGGAGAAATACTTGAGTATACATTAAATTCCGGACTATAGCGGCGTGATGATGCGCGTACCATGCTATAAACTGTTGCTAACTTACTTCGTATCATCACGCGTAGTTTCGTAAGTATACTACCTCGTCTCGAAAATTTTCTTTGAAGTAGTAATTGGCTTGCTTATTAATGGCCTCTTAGAAGTTTCTAAGCTTGATGAGCGGGCCTGTCTATAAAGCCGAGCTTAATGAAAGGAATTTTGTTATATATTGTACAAACAATCTTGTCACTCTCACAATAACGTTTACTTCATTACCGTAATAAATTTCACCTCGAAGTATTTTAAAAACCGACGTGAAGAAAACAATACGAATTTTTATACGGATCTACACTACATACATGTATATATAATCCAATTATAAATTATCAGATATTACTATTTTATTGAAATTACTTCCTGTCGGAATATAAAGGGAGATGAATTTGCTCTCATTCGCCAGCTGCTCTTCGAATCTTCGGAACTATTACGTTAGAAACGACTGCTCGAGTCTTTCCGGCTGATTTCCAGTAAGAATTACTTGATAAACGTCCAATCGTAGGTGCTCCAAATTTTATTCGCGGCAATATATAACGGCGTGCGATGATTTTCGAATGGCCTTTCCTCTTTCAAAAATCGAGAGCGCACAAGAACATTGTAGAGAATTATAAAGCGCCAGGCTTAGTCCTCGCTTGACCCGCTTACGTTAACTCGCGCTATTCACTGCCGAGTTTCTCGAGTACTTTGCAAACTTCGGCGTGCACGTAGGTGGGCTATAAGTATAAGTACTAGTAAGTAAGTAAGAGTATGTATACCGCCGTTTATACGTAGAGCGTTCGCGCGATAGCGTGATACTTAAGTCGAGGACGTTCACGTGTTACAGATTTACCCGGGTTTGGCAAACCGTTGAACAATCTCACAGTCTCGGTGGGCCGCGAAGCCATTTTCACCTGCATCGTCGAGGATCTCGGACCATACAAGGTGAGACCCCCAACATTACAGCCCCGGCCATTCTATTTCCACGCGCGGTTACAGCCATACATTCACCGCCGTGCTGCCATTGCTCGCAATTGCACGCCACGTTGCGCGCACTGACGTTTGTCCCTGTGTAATTGGGACTGGTTTTGATAAGCGGCATTAGATCGTGCAAATTTCATTAGACACTTGTGACAAATTATTCAGCGATATTATATCTGTCGAATGAAACAATCTCTTTTTTTTTTATCTGAAAACATAAACAGATCAATAAAATTTTCACTTCAATTTTACAATAACTCTATCACAAACGCACGTTAACTTTTTAGATCAAGTTTCCATTGAATCCACTTTTAAAAAACAGGAGACAGTTTATAAATTTATTTCCAATAAATTTTACGCAATTCGCGATTAATGCAAGTTTAACACGAGCGGTTCTCATTTTCCCTGTTTGACCGGCCCCGGTAAATATAAGATGAAAATCAGATAGTGTTTGCAGTAAGTTCACTATGCAAATACAGATCTTTATCTCTAAATCACGAAATCGCGTCGGTTACTCTCATACCAACACATAGATACCCTGTAATTTGCGATTTAGAAAATTGGTACTAAGAAGATGCTTTGAGAGAGCGTCGCAGCGCGACGTCATTACTGAACTAGCGTCGGCAAAGTTCTGCACGGACGGGGAAAGTTAACGGACAGGACAAATAAATTCAAAGCGAAGGATTGGAGCGCGAGGATCACAGTGCGTATCTGGGCAACTTCATTTTAGTAGAAATAAAATCACGCGGAGGGAGTGTGAGTTCAGCAGTTTGTTAAGCGGCTTCCTCTCTCGCGCCCGTCGTCTTTCGGGCCGATCGTTTCCCTGTCGTTTGTCTGTCTCACTTTCCTCGTTTTCTACTTATTTCCCATCCCTCCTCACGGCCGTGGCGCGGCGCGGCGGGAGGATCGGGCGCTTCTCGTGAAGAGAAATACCCTTTTCGATTCTCCCCTACTCTCTTAGCAGACCGCGCTCAAACCGCGTATGGAGGAGTTATAGTTTTATAGATAGCGCCGACCTCTCGCGACCGTGGAAATGTTTTCGCGATAAAAATGCGCGAAATTATTTTATGGCATCGCGGGAATTTATGTGCACGCGCGCGTGCGCGCGCGTGTGTGTGTGTGTGTGTGTATGTATTGTATACACTATAAATATATATAGTCGTTCGTTCTCGCGCACGTTTGAACGGAATCGATGCATTATTCTTACGCGGTTGGTCAACGGCACCTTTGCGGAAATGAAAACGGCCAGTCACGTTGGCCGCCGCGATACTCGGCGAAAAGCGTTCGGCGAAAATAATAAAAAGCGCGTGCCACTTTGCTCCAGACGGGACACAAAGGGGCGCGCGCTTTCGATAATCGATGCCGACGACGCGTATATAGCCGCGGAATTAACGCTTTTTAGCGTAAACTCATTTTAGCACATGGCAGTCGCATACGGCGCGGCTATAACCGATACCGCGTGATTGGTTCTTTGCGCCGGCGGTATCGCAATCCTTTCGCATCGCTAATAATAAGTTATTAAATTCCTCTGATAGGACACGCGGATTAAGTGGAGCGCGAACTCGTAGTATTACCGTTTTGACGAAGAAAAAGGAAGAGGGAGAGTGAGATAGAGAGAGAAACGTAAATATATCTTCAAACAGTAACGACGCGAAGAGAGCGTACGTTAATGCAACGACGCTGCTGACATCGAGTAGTTTATTTATATTTCAAGCTGCAACATGAGTAATGGTGAATTTTATGTATAGTGACTCCTGTGAGAGGAAGGAAGGAACAGACATACACACGCGCGCACACCTCAGATATTCTCCGGGCGTTTTGAAATAATAAAGCATCTTATTACGACTCGCAAGGTGTTACGACTCGCACCGTGTTATGTAGTACATGATGATGGCACAAATTCTGCTAATTAGCAACAAACATGTCATTTATACGTTACGTCTTACACCTTCTTATTGTCGTCCTATATTTGTTACTTATGCACTAACTTATATACACGTTTTTGATATCAGAATGAATAAATTAATTTAGAATCTAAGTATGTAAAGACTAATGAACAAATTAAAAACATTTTGTTTTTGAAATGAAATAATTTAATAAAGTAATTCGACATTACGTTATATGATATATTGGTTGATATGTTAAATATTAATACATTGAATTAATTATTACAATATAAAAAGGTATCTAATTATTACCAACATAATAAATATTTGTGTTATAATAAATATTATTTTTAAAGAACAATTGAAAGATAAATATTATATTATTATAATTTAAGAATTGTATTAAAATTTACATTAGAGAAAAGTGCAATTTTATATAAAATTATAAAGTAAAAATTAAACTTTGAAATTAACGTACTATACAAACGTAGATATGTCTCTCTCTCTCTCTCTCTCTCTCTCTCTCTCTCTCTCTCTCTCTCTCTCTCTTTCTCTCCTAATTGATTATAATTAAAAAATTGCCAGAAACTTTTTATTCAAGCTTGATATTCCACAGTTAATCATGCATATAGCTTGTCGGTGATCCATTACAATAAATTTTGCTGTAACTTACTATGCAGCTCATATGGCATAAGTTACTGAGTACCTACTCTAATTTTTTATTCTTTGTTTAAACAGTATTAATTTATATAAAATCTTTGACACCTTAAAATAGATGATCTCAATTAATACGTCGCCAATTAAAATAAATTTGCAACTTATGGTTAAAAGTATTTTTAAACAAATTTTTATGTATAATTTAATTTGTTGAGAAGTTTTATAAATTTTATTTAAAAAATATTCTGCAGTCGATCACGTACATTTACACACTTTATAATTTTATTATATTTTACATTATATTTGTATTATAATTATATTTTAAATTATAGATATATTTTACGTATTTTATTGTATAATTTTATTATAATCATATTTATATATTTTATAATATATTTTAAGATATTAAAAAATTAGAGTTAATTGCTTTTTATTAAAGCGTGCTGAAAATTTAACAAGATAAACTTATTTATCCTTTTTCCGCAAGAAGTAATATACTTTTGCCAAAATCTTATCACAAAATAAGACTCGTCTGTCGTGCTTACAGCTATAACATTTTCATTTCTACCTCGCCTTATGAAGTGCGGAAATAAGTGTGCTTCAGGAATAAAACGATTTATGTATTATCCTGACTCTCCGGCAAATTTTAAAATTTCATTAAAGGGCCAAAATTGCTTCCTGCGGAAGTGGGAACAGTAAGGAAAGGAGGCACCCCAGCGAAGAGTATTTTTACGATCCTAAACCTAATTGAAGCTGAGTCCTTGAAACTCGTTGGGCTTCGTGGAGATTAGCGCTCGGAAATTTTTCTTCCTTTAAATAATCATGATTTCAGCATTATGTCAACGCATACTTTTTTATTCCGTTATTCTGTTATTTTACTTGACGTCGTATCAAAAATATGAAAATTACTTGCGTCCTGCAGAACAAAGTTTTAAAATTTTTTGCCTTCTAAAAATTATGCTGTGTTGATATTAATTTAAAAAAAAAAGACCTTAAAACATTGTGCCGATGCAATATGCGCATTTCGCAATTTTCTATAATTGCCTCGTTGCATAACTTTTGCCTCAAGCGCCACGTATTGTATCTATTGGCAAAACGTCCATATGTTATATTGTGAGTGTTTGCAACTGCCCCATCAGATTACGAGTTTGATCTCGCAAGAGCCAACCGAGGCTGCCAAATGGTTATACACCGTCATGTGCCATCTATTGCTGCGCTGCGAACAAATCTCATTTTCCAGACAAAATTTTATTTCCTTCGAAATTGGATGTCGGAAATAAGCATAATTTCCCGTGGAGCCTATATTCGCATCAGGTACAGTTACGTATTTGTAACTAATTGAAAGTGTAAGTATGTGCGAATTACACTGAGAAAAAAAAGTGTAAAATCAAATGAATATTTCTTGATTCAACTATATATACTTGGCGGTCGAACGGGCTGTCAAACAAATATTTGTTAGTTCAACAACATACTTGTTAATTCACAAAAATATAATGTTAATGTTATTAATGTATATTTAATTCAAAAACATATATGTATTATTGAACAAAAGAAAAACTGTCAACAAAACGCATTTAGTTATTTTAACAACTTTTTTTTCTCGGTGTACGTTGAGAGAGAATTTAATAGACAAAAGTATACGATCGGATTTGAAGAATCTTTCGAAAATCTTTTGAACTTCGATAAAAAATCTATAATGTTCTCAGAGTTTCCATTTCTCATTACGATAAGATGTCAAACTTGGCGCGACCTTTATATACGGGTTGCTTCGCGACGAGTAATGCAACGCTTACGACTAATATTCTCCCGAGGGAGCAAACTCTCGAAATCATTACGGCCTGTTGCAAACGTATTGTCTATTTCCTCACTGTAGCGCATTCGGCAAATTGCGCATCCGTGAGAGAGGCACGGTAACACAGAATATTCCACAATCCCTTGACGATCCTTGATTACTCCGGTGGTCCTTACCGACACGACGCGCGATTTCCCGCACATATCTGACGTCGGCTCTAATGTGACGGACCTTTGGATCAAGGTGCTTAATATTTGGAGAATGCTGGCATATCTAACGTCTCTCTCTAGCTCTCTCTCGCGGTCAATAATCAGAGCGAGAAGGCCGACGACGCTGATGGCGAACACTGGGAGAGCCGGCAGCGGTGTTCATGCTCGCCTCTGTGATTGTTCGTGCAAACAAACCGCAGTATTAATTATTCGCGATACCGGCGGTTGCATTGAACGGGGCAGCAGCCTAGACCGGATATCCTACGAAGAAGCCGATACTACAGGAGTTACGATCTTGTCGACGATAATTTCTGAATCCCTGAGGGGGGTGAGAATACGGCCGCTACACGGGTCGGCTGAGATTTCCTCTCGAGAGTAACGACGCGTCAATGGCCAGGCCAGGGTCGCCGTTTCTATTTC